AAAATTATTATTTATATTAAAACATCATTTGAATCTAATTTAATAATTTTTATTCTATTTTCTTAATCAATATTTTAATTGATTATAAATATTTGTAGCATTGTAGTCAATTAGATTTTTTTAAAATACTTAATATATATATATAAACTTGATGAGTCGTATTTCGAGCCAAAACGAGCCGAACACGAACGAACACATCTTAGTTCGTGTTCGGCTCGGTAACTTATCGAACGAAAATAACGAGTCGAACACGGGCTTCTTAACGAGCCGAACACAAGTTGTTCGCGAACAACGAGCTGTTTTGACAGCCCTACTTATAGTCAATTAAATTTTTTCAAAATATAAACATTTTTCTTTAAAGATTTTATGCAGGAATTTTTATTTTGTAATTTTAAATTTATTTTTGAATTTTAAAATATTATTATATATTTTTATATTATAAAGTTAAAATAATTATTTTCTTAATTTCATACTTTAAACATTTATAAATATAGTTGTATTGAAAGAAATATTTATAAAATTGGTTACTTTAAGTTTTGAGCTAAAATATCTTACAATATTATTTTTATAACTTTAGAAAATTATTACAATAAGTAATATATTGGATGATAATTATAATAGATTAAACAAAAAAATCTTATAACACACTTATTCTAAATATTATTCCTATTTGACTATTTTATTAATATTTTTACTCCTTTTTTTATTTTAAGTCTTATATGTATTTGAATTATTAAAATTTTACATTAAAATTTCTAAGATTTTGTCACTTTAAATGTTTTTGGTTGTATAAAATATTTAAACTTTTAGGTTATTTTTATTTATTTTTAACAAAATTTTATTTCTCATGAAATTGTTACCGAAAAAAATATATTGTAAATAGAATTTATTTAAAGTTTTTATTGATACACAATCGACAAATTTCCATCATCTGACATAAATTTTGATGCTTGACACAGATCTCGAGTCAATCTTTTAGGAAAAAACATTCGAACTTTGAAAAAAAACATCCAAAGCTGAAATTTCAGCAAGTTTATAATCAGTCTGATCGACTCGACGAGAAGGACTCATTGATACCAAATTTGGTCTAATCTAAGTCAAATGAAGCTCAGATCAAGCCATTAAACTAAATTTGGAAATTTTTTGAGCCTATTTGAGAGGTCAAATGAATGTCAAATTAGACAAACTTACAATCAAATTGAGCGTCTCGACAAGAATAATCCAAAGGGTCTAAGATTGCTTAATTTTGACATTATTAAGACACATAAATATACATCAAATGTCGTTAGATTGAAGGAATCTATCTAAGTCGTCCGATAAAAAGTGATTGATATTCTTTCATTAATTGCATCAGAAAACTCAATAAATAAAACCCCACCCCTCTCATAAAGGGGGCAGCTTGAGGAGGAAGGCTTGAGGCATGAGGAAGAGTATGAAGGATTAAGAAGAAGCTGAATTCCAGCATCAATTGTCATTGTCGACCATCGCAGACCACCGACGACCACCATTTATGACCACCACCAACCAGCATCAATTAATGCCGACCTCTGACGACCGTCGTTGACTACCGACCACTACCGTCGACAATCGATGACCACCGTCGACTACCACCTACTGGCCACAGCCGACAATCGACAATCGATGACCACCGTCCACTACCACCTACTGGCCATCGCCAATCACTATTAGTCCCTGCTTGTTCTTTGCAAGAAATTTTTCAGCACGTCGACTTTGTAACTTGGGAAACATTGTAACTCTTTTTTGTCAGTGAGACAAGTAATTGTAGCTGTAATTATCACTAAATATTGTAACTCTTCAGCTGGGTCAGTTCTCGTTATTTTTTCTTTTACTGGTTTTTTTACGTAAAAACTCGTAGTGTCATTAATTATTAGTTATTTTATCTTTCCTAAGCGTGCACCGAATCATCGTGTGAAAAATTTTCAATTAAAATTTTAAATATGTTTAATTAAATTTTAATTTATCTTACATTTATAAACTATATATATATATATATATCTTCTCTTGTCCACATATATATATATATATCAAAGTATTTTTTTCATAGATATCATCATTATTTATATTTAAAAAAAATACAACTTCTTATGAATACATTATGATATTAAAATATTGTAGATAAAAATATAAACTTATAGATATTGGTTAACATAGGATTTACGGTTGATCTGCTTAGTGATGATTCATGTGATAAAAGATGATTCATGATTTATTGTAACTCCTAATTCATCGGTTAGTGTGAAAGTCAGAATCTTATGAGTCCAAAGATTTCAATTGGTTTTCTATCATAACTATTTACTGCTAGTTCTCATCCCCATGTATCATGTATGTGAATTGGGGACAGAAAATGTGTAGATCTAAAATTTTAAATAACAAGATAATAAGGACCAATCTGCACAAGTTCTTACATTCTCGACAGTCCTTGAGGCCGCTAAAACTACCATTCGTAAGACCAAGAAAAAAAAAAAAAGGTTTTCCCTGATATCATTGCTATGGACTCTCGGCCATGGAAAACTGAGACACGGACGAAGAACTTCTCCCAAAATGGCATTTTTTCATCTAAATCTATCCCCGACTGCTCCCCTACCACTTCCCAGACCCTCACAAAGTTACCTACGCAAGCCCCCAATACACCTCAACTCCACTATCCTCTCCCGCTCTTCTCCTCTCACAAAGCTCGAGCCTCCTCCCCTCCTTGAACCTCCCCACGACAAGTCCCCGGCGTCAAAAGACCAGCATGCCACGCCGCCGCTGCGGCCGAGGCTGCGGCCACCATCCCACGGCCGGAAGAACGATTTCTACCTCAACGTTGGCGTCGCCGTCCGCACCCTCCGCGATGATCTCCCTTCCCTCTTCTCCAAAGACCTCAATTACGACATCTACAGGTCTGTATCTGAAGCCCTAATTCCGCTCCAAGTTCCTTTCTTGTTCTTCAGAACCTAATGAATTTTGATCTTTCAGAGAAGATATCACTTTCATCGACCCTCTGAGTACGTTTCAAGGGATGGGTAACTATCGGCTCATCTTCTGGGCGCTGAGATTCCATGGACGGATTCTATTTAGAGAAATTAGGGTGGAGGTGTTCCGGGTTTGGCAGCCTTCAGAAAATTCGATTTGGATTCGATGGGAGATGCAGGGGGTTCCACGAGTGCCATGGGAGGCTAAGGGACGGTTCCAGGGGACTTCAAGATACAAGGTTGATCGGAACGGGAAGATTTATGAGCACAAGGTGGACAATTTAGCATTCAATTTCCCGCAGACGGTGGCGAGACCGGCAAGTGTGTTAGATTTTGTAGCTGCAGCTTTTCCTCCGAGTCCCAATTTAACGTTCTGGGGAGATCCGTATAAGGAACTGGCTTCGTCTTCATGGCTTGAGCTGTACAGGGCAGTGAGAGGGACTCTGGTTCAGATAGACCAGGATGTGGATCGTGCGGGGCTTGATAGCTTGGTCGGCTGTTTGTAGGTTGGTTTGGAACTCCGAGGAATGGGGGAGAGTGGTTGCAGTGAGCATCAAGGGGAACTGGTGCTGTAAGTTTTACTAAGGTTTTAAGAGTAAGGTGTCAAAATAGTCCCTGATTATTTTCATGGGGCCCTTTTAGCCTTAGTGTTTATAGAAGTGTCAAAATAGTCCCGAGTATTTTAAAATTGAGCTCCATTTGTCCTTCAAGGGGACTGTTTCAGTCCCAATTTAAAGAGTATGGAGATACTTTGACACTTTTAGAAACTCTAAGGCTAAAATGACCCTACGTAAATACTCAGTGACTATTTTGGCACTTTACTAAAGGCATAGTTACTTCTCTATATGTTCTTTCCATAGATGTGTTATATAGATTAGCTATGATTCTTGTAGCTACTGATTTGTTTTAATGAATTACAAAGCAAGCTAGTTGTTGCATTATAAAGACAAAGTTTCATTTTTTTTTTTGGTCTATTTTGATGGTTTAATATTTATTGTGATGAATGTTCCCAAACTCAATTCTAACAAGCTTGATAGTAGGCTTGATATCATCAATATCAGCCTATGTAAAAATTTGAGGATGATTTCATGAATCCTCATTCTCAATTATTTCTTTTTTTTGCAAAAAAATCTTTAATCAAGAATCCCTTTTTAACTATTAATCCGTTTAAATTAATTTTGTCTATCTGTCTTATTGGTGCTTCTTCTATCATTTTTTATTCACACCCAACTATTCAAAGTTTATTTTTGACATCATATCCTCAATGAGTGTTTAGTCTCATGATCTCTTTAATATAGTCAATTTTTAATATACCAATTTTACTTTTTCAAAATCAACATAGTTATCATTTGCTTCTGATAGTTCTTGAATGGAAATAAGAAGAAGAGTTTTGGCATGCTTTGTGGACGCATAAACAGTGTAACTTCCGTATTTATTTTCAAAATGATTGGAATTTAGATAAAAGAAATGAAAGTTTGGGATTCTTATTGATTACTTTTCCTATATAGATGTGAAAATGTGACTTTATTTACCTCATAATAGCTATAACTGGATAAATATGCTCAATATTTTTTCTTTGAATATCCATAAGTTCATTTTGTACTAAAATTCACTTTTTGATCATGGAATACATATTTAATGTCCGCCACAAAAGTCATTTGTTTAAAGAAGTTTAAACAGGTTGGAACAACATTGGAACTATTTCAGGAAACAAGATTTCAACCATGTTCAAATGAGATTTTAACCTTGCTAAAACAAAATTAGAATCATATTCGAACGGGGTTCAAATTTTGTTCGAATAGGGTTCTAGATATGGTTGAATGAAATTTATCTACAGTAGATACAACAGAGTGCATTTAAGCTTTTTTAATAGAGTTTGATACAACATAATGCAATTATAACAACTACAACATGATCCAAGAGCTACAACATGGTGGAGAGCCATCATAGGAGTTATGCCATGATTGATAATAAAATAGATACAATACAATCTAAAGTAATAGTCATAACCGATCAGAATGACAAACATGATGTTATTGCATAGCCAATCAATAATGTTACCTCAAAAGAATTTCTTTGAATTTAATTAATCATAATTTTCCTACAATGACAGGGAGAGTAAAGCATAAAGTATAAGCTATTATGAAGGTGATGGACATTTAGCCTCACAACTAACTTTATTTTGATCTCTCGCTCCATATTGGCTGCACTTACACTACACCAAATCTTTCTCTGTTTGAAGAATTTTTATTTTTACTTGAATAACCACTCTTCAATTTCACCAATTAGGTTAATGTGATTATTTAATCTAAAATCTCCCATGTAAAAAATGTTATACCTCGATTTTCAACATATGCAATCAATGTTGTTGCATACACTTTTGAACATAAGCTATGATAACTTATACCTCGATTTTCAGACTCATAATTTCAAACTTTCTGCATGTGGATGTCATTAGCATCACCATTAAGATCACTATTCATGATATGTAATTTAAATTGATTAATGAGATAAACAGTTAAACTGCAAGCCATATATTCTAGAGTTTCTCCAATGCTTCTCTGATTTTTTTTTTTTTTGTTAAAATAGTTTATATTTGATGTAATTTTGTATCTTTTGAAGAACAAATAATGTGTTATTTGTCTCGAAAATAGTCACCGAGTAAAAGCATTCTCGATAACATTATTCAATTTTTAAAATATTGATTTTTATCAACTTGTATTGATTTTTAGGGTAGAAAACACAAGTCCATTGTCCAAAGCTAACATTATTCTCTAGACGAGCAGCTGTGGCAGAGTTTTTGACTCATATTTTATTGAAGTGCTAATATGAATAAACTCTTTTATAAGTCTTAAAAGTAAAGTGATATTCTTAAAGCTGCTATTGAACTTAAACTTCTTCATGATATTTATGAGATGATTTATGCCTCTAGAAAAATGACTGATAGGACATTAACTGTACATCAAAGAAGAACTAGAAAATTTTCGGTATTTACTCCCTTAGTTTGATCATGAACAATATTCACAAGTTATTATTTTCTTCAGTCAATTATTGCAAAGGCATTGGATGAATCTGATTAATGATATTCTATGCCACTATTATTATCAAAGTACCTCCATATCTTATATTCAGAAATATTTCATTAACATTACACATCAAGTCTTTCATACAAATACCTAAAGAGAAATAATTATTATCAAAACATCTTTCACTATCAAGTTAAATATCGACAATTTTATTTTAATTTCTTGTGTGTAGAATAGGTAAATCAGATGATAGCATATGAAAATATATTTTTTGGGGCTCTTATTCTGTAGCTTGCTCGCAACTCTGCCTAGCTTTCTTATAGGATAAATAAACGTCGTATCCCCTTCTAAATACATCATCTTTGACTTCAAATTATGATTATATCTGATAAGCTATTCCTTGATTATATCTCTAATGTGCCCTGTTTAAGCTTGTGAGTGATCTTTCAATTTAAACATTCGTAGATATTTAATGAACATTTTGATATTGAAGCATTTATAGAGCCGCTATCCATTAGTAGCGTATTGTCCACAGAATCATATTTTTTTGCATATGGCATGCCTCCACATTATCACCTTTATCAATGAAAGAGGCTGAATTGATTGATCTTTATCATCCCCAGTTGCAAAATATGTTGCAGCTAAATTTTTTTTCTCGAATAATTTACCTTTACTGAACAGTAATTGATGGCTTTCTTCAGAAGATTTTCCTACAGAAAACGACTTTTGCTGATAGACTTTCTCATGTAGATTTCATCCTTTATGCGGCATTTCTGTTGGTGAGAGAGTTCTGTAACTCTGTATTGGCTGTTGCTCCTCTGTTATCTACCAGTTATTGAGGCTTATTTTTTATTGTGAGATTTACGTACATGCCACTCAAGTCTTATGTATTTACATCTCTAACACCTAAACATCAATTTTTAACATTTATATATATATATATAGATGCCAACTTAAGTATGCAGTAAAAGTTGTATTTCACTTTTTAAAAGTTAATAATTATAATATTTATGTGATATGAAAAATTTGGGTGGTATGGATGCAAAAAGTAAAGTTTAGATGTTAGATATGTAAATACATTGGAAATAGGTGGTATTTATGCAAATGCCCCATCTTTAATTTTTTTTATGATTATAAAAAAGGGATTTGGACGTCAATCAACTTTAATAATGGTTGAATATATTGCTATTTTCATGTAGATTTTTGGATCAACAAACAAGTTTTGAGTTTGGGATAAATGAGAAGCCCACAAAGCATTTAGCTACTTTGATAAAATGACAAATTGTAAATATTTAGAAGCAATAAATTTTTACAAATTAAATCGAAATAAGAAGACAGAAAATTAGAGTAGGATTTAGTTTTTCTTAATAGACCTCATTCAAATTTTCAACATATTATGGTCATCCATTTATATCATTAATCATAATAATATGGCATCAAAAATACAAGGTACATAATATTACAGGAATTTTCAATTTAAAATTTTCATCATAAATTTTAAATACATTTTTAAAGTAAATATTAAATGGAGGTGTTCTTCTCTTGTCCCGAGACGTATGTGTCATAATAATAGTAATAATAATAAAGTTTCGCTCAAGTCTTAAGGAGCTAATGGGGCGAAATTATTGCCCCTCGTGGGAAGTTGTGTTAAGGGGTGTAATTGAGTTCAGTCTAGTTGGAGTTATGCCGAACTCAAGCTCGGCTGGTTGATGTGATATAAATTTACGTGATGTTCTTGTTTTATATACAATATTTTCTGCTATATTTATTGATTTTACATTTATGGAAAATTTTTGGTGATATTAAGTAGATTACAAGTGTCGAGTTTAAGTCACGAAGTCAAAACACCAAGTCACCAAATTTAGAGGACCTACGTAATTATGTCAGGCCTTGCATAGTTACGTCAAGTTATTTGTTGATTCAACATAACTACGCCAGAACTCGGCGTAGCTATGCCTAGTATGACGTAATTTTGCTGACCACGGACATGGTAACGCCACCGCCAGCCAAAGTTCTATTTTGGTATGATTTTCATGGAATTTGTGGTAAGTGTAATATAAGAAGACTTGGGCTTGACCTAGAGGAGGTGTACTTACTTCAAGAGATTTCTTGCAGCTGGAGTTAGGGTTTTACTTCAAATTGTAGGGATTCTCTCTTTCTTCTTATGGGGAGGGAACTTCTTGGCTGAGTTTTCCTTTTAGTTTTGGTTGTGCTTGTATGAGAGAGGTCAAATGTTGTGTATGAGAGAGATTGTGGAGAATTAATCGTTGTAAGGTGAGGAGTTAGTATATTGCTGAAGGCACTTGGCTTGGTTGTAAGTTTGTATATTTTTGTACTTGTATCTTTAAATATTTTCAATGAAATTTTCATGTTTTTCTCCCTCATGTGTAGTAGTTAAATCTACTTTCATGCTTCTGCTATGTAAGAGTAGTTTTTCTCATGTTTTAACCATGAATTTTTTTCCCATGAAAGTTTTATGTGCTTTTTAATCATGTATGTTGATGTGCTATCATTTGGATTGTCGTCAGCTCATAACCTGATTAGTTAAGATGTTAAAACTTCTTGTGATGTTGAACTTCTAACTGTTGTCCAGTGGAACAAGTACGTTAACACTTGTCAGTATTGTGGAATAGACATATCATCATTAGAAAATTATAATTTAGCTAAGGGATCTGAGAAATCCTAGGAAACATTCTATGGTTAATTGTCTCTTAAATGTAACATGGCTTACAACTCTTCTTATGATCTAGACATAGGCTAAAAAGGATTGTGTCCGTGATTGTCAACTATCACGTTGGGAAACTAATAGGAAAACCATTGAGAGAACACTACACTGGTGTCATAAGAGCATGAGCATCATCACCTCTACATGACTTAAAGATGCTCCCTAACATTTTTAGTATTTCTTTCTTGTTTTTGTCTCATTTATTGTTTCTAGTAGGACTATTAAGTTCCGCTTCTTACACTTAGATTCCTTTAAATTAGATTCAACAATGTAGTACACTGGAACTTCCTCTCTTATGATAATTTGAAAACTATCATCGTGGGATCGATACATGAACTTGTTATCCCTAAATTATTTAATCGACATGTATACTTGCGTGATTGACCGAGTTGCCTCACAGCAATTTCGGGCTTCACTTTTCTATCAAAATGCCAGCAAGATCTGAAAATCAAATTATCTTGGAGCTTTCCGGAGATATGTATCGATGGCTGGAGAAGTAGTGTCACGATAGTTTGTCGAAGAAGGCATTTTCACAACATTTGATTGCTAGTCGATCCAGCTTGCAAGCCGAGCCAAGCGTAAACAAGCTTAAAGAGCTTGAGTTTGAGCTCTAGTTGAATCACGTGGCTTGATGAACTCGACTCATGAGCTTGTTAACAAGTCAAGCTCAAGCCAACTCACAAACTTGTTTGGCTCACTTACACTCATAAATGCGCCTCAAGGTAAGCGTATGTGATTAAAATTGAGAAATTCCTTATGAATACAATGCTATAAGTGGATAATAGGAAGATTTAAATGCAGTTTTAATAAATTTTCTAGTTTGGTTATCAAAATGTATGACTTGGGTGATGGGCAGTGAAGTTATTGTTGAATTCTAAGTGAAGGAAATGTGAAAGGTATTTCATATTACTATTGATGATGATTGCTTGTAGCCTGAGTTGTATTATGCATTAGAAGATGGTGGACACGTATTAAATTTTTTTTTTCTTATGACTTATACCTCAAATAAAAGAGGGATATTGACTTGTCCTCTTAACGTTACTATTCTTATAGCATAAGATATATTTAAAATATATTGGGTGATGACTAAATTAAAAAGAATTGGGAAATTTACATACATACAACTCAATTCTTATTTATTTACATATCTAATGCCTAAATTTAGTTTTTCTTACATTTATATCTTCTAAATGTTTCATATCACAACAAAAATATCACTATTTTAACTTTTAAAGAGTTAAATATACCTTTTCATGCACATATAATATGGCATGCATACATATACCTTTTCATGCACATATAATATGGCATGCATACATATAAAAATTAAAGCTTGGTATTAGATATATAAATGCATAAGAATGGGTGGTATTTATAAATTCTTTTCGAAACAAAAAAGAAAAAAACAAATTTAACTAGAGAATAATCAAATTAATGAAAATACTAATAATAATTAGAATTAGCTAAATCGTGTTTTTTATGGTCCTCTGGTTAACAGTGGTGGAACCAAGGGATGGTTTGGGGAGGCACTGGTGATCTTTTGATATTTACTAAACTCTTTAATATTATGTAATGCACTAAAAAAAATACCCCTTAAATTCAAATATTTATTAATAAATTATTTTAATTATAATTATAATTTAATAATTTGAATATTCATAATGGTTTAAAAATCTTTTTAAGGAGAGATACTTTAAACTTAAATGCTAGCCATCTCTTAATTTTTAATTTCATCATCCTGTTTCTTAAACTTTGATTCTACCACTTCTCATCAAAAACTTCTTAATATCTATAATTTATATGATTAAGAGTAGATTCTTAATTATATCTTTTTAATTCTTTCTACCCAACAAGTGATTTAAGAGTAGATGATTTAGATGGAGCCGTATTTTATATGATTAATGGGGCTTGTATGAGTTTTGAGTAGTGGTATGAATGAGCTGAGTTTAGCTCAAATCGGAAGCAAGCCAAGCTCAACTTGATTTGTTAGTAGGAAACTTGAACTTGAGCTTCAGTTTGACACGAGCTCACTTGCCAAGCTTAAACTTTGCTCTATTAATGAATGTTAGAGCAAGCAAATCTTAAATGAGGCATTCGGTTCTGTTATTCCTCTGTTCAAACTTTGCTTAAGGCTTGAACATTGCTCAAATCATTGGTGAATCTCTTATTTCAATCTTACTTCACCTTTGTTTGAACCAATGACCGCATAGGCTTCAAAAAATCAGCTCATTTATATAATATGCCAATTATTATTTCACTCATGGCTCATATCTACTTTTATATTTCATATGTCATTTATTAAAATAAAATATTATTCATTCTGAAGAGAGAGAGCTTTGTAGATTTTTTTATTTTTTTTGAGTTTTTTTTTTCCGGCATGTTTTCTGTTGAAAAATGAAAATTATTTTTGTTTTATTTTCAACCCGAGAATTTGAGCAGAAGGGATTTGTAGACATATTTCGCTCTTTTCATCAATCAAGCCTCACATTATACTTTCCAGCTCCAGTGGAAGCCCCAAAAACAAAATTGTCGGCTCATGTTCATTTCATCTGACTCATCATGCCATAATTCCCCCATACTGCTCCACATGCGCATAAACCGTCGCCTGCACCGCCACGTCGGACTCAATCACCACCCGGTTATCACTCACTTTCCTCAACGCATGCTTCGGGAATTCCGAACCGGCGAGCAGCGAATACTGCACCTGATCGATCCTGTTCGGAAACAAAAGAACCGGGCTGAAATCAACAGTCCACGTCGTCCCGTTCCCCCGCACCGATGCCTTCCCCACCGTCGATCTCACCCTCATCCCCTCCACACTGTTCCGCCCCACCATCACCTGATCAACGGCCGTAAACGCCCCGCCGGACTCATCCAACCGCACGATATCGACACCGCCACCCAAGCCGGAGAATACATTTTCCACTATATTAATGCCCCTTAACACCCCTTTAACTGACTTAAGCACCACATTAGCATCCCCTAAAAAGAATGTACCCGACACGTGTAGCTGAACCGGGTCCTCCGACACGATACTGTTGTAATCCAAGTAGCAGTTAACGATTCGTGTCTGAGTCAGACCCGGCGATTTCAAATATATCCCCATCCCGCCGAAAGCGGACGCCTTGTTGTAGCAATGAACGCCGGTGAGGATGTTGGCTGGGCCGGCGATGAGTATCCCTATGGCGGCAGAGAATATGACGACATCGGTGACGATATTGTCATTGCCGGTGAGGCTGATTCCGGTTCCGGTGAAGGACTTCTCTTGGGGATGTGCGCCGGCAGTGATTTGTTGGCCGATGAATGAATTGGTGATGAGGGTTTCATGTCCGGAGCGGACGGAGATGCCTTCGGAGGTGAAGCGGACGATGTAGCAGCCGCTGATGGTGGTGCGGAGGGAGTTTATGACGATGATGCCACCTGCGCGGTGGTTGGCGTCAATCATGAGGCCGGAGAGCGTGACGAACTCGAAGTTGTAGTTGGAGGTAGTTGATTCCGATGAGTTCGAGCCAAGCTCAATTATGTAGCGACCGGCGGGGAAATCATCGGAGGCTCGAAGGGTGCCTTGGTGGATCTATTCAGATAAAAAAAAAGGTTGTCAAAATATATAGCATGGATGAACGCAAACAAGTCTAGCTAAAATGTTGGTCTCGATTATTCTAATGGTTTTATGAATTATTAAGCAAATTTAATTTTAATTAATATAAATAATATTAAAAAGCTTAAAAATTTATAACTAAACTAATACTAATCATTATTTATTAAAAAGTGCTCATTAATTATTAATTAGCTTGACTTGGTCATAACTAATAAATTTTGTTTTGTAATGATATAGTTAGAATATTTTTCTGTAGTTTTTTTTGAAGAGGAGAGGCACTAATTAAATGTCATTATAGGTAAAATCATATAAAAGAACCTTTTTTTAATAAATATTTATCATATATAACTATATTAAATTTTAGGAGCATCTAACCCCCCAAAATACATCTTCAGTGTTTAAGCCAAATCTTAATTAATATAAATAAATACTTTAAAAAAAATAATTTCTATTAAGACGTGCATTCGTATTATCCCTTTGGATTAGAGTTCTTTAAATTTAAAAAAAATCAACTTAACGCGCATAATTTTTTTTAAAAACTAATTCATCAATTTATTTATTTATTATAAAACAATAAAATTTATATTTTAGGCTAAATTGTTGCGTTAAATAATAATAAAATTAATTGATCATAATTAAAATCTTATTAATTCCGAATTTTTTTATTGAATAGTAGATGAAAAATAATTTCATTAATTATTAAGGCTAATTATTTATAATGTACATAAAAAGCATATAAATTCTTAAATAGTATTAATTATAAATTAGAAAAAAAAAGGTTCGACGAAAAATAATATAACGTACAATTCTAAGTTGAGATTAACGGCTGTTGATTTGGTCGTACCTTAATATTTCCAATCGGATTGGAGGGGAGAGTGAGCGGGCTACTTATGAGGTACGATCCGCCGCCGAGATTGAGCTCGGAGCCGCCGAGATCGGCGATTTGGGACATCAGACGGCGATCTTCCAGCGACGCGCAGGCGTCGGCAAGAGCCCGTTTAATCGCTTGCGTCGAATCGGCGATCCCCCTCGGATCGGCACCGTAGTCCATGACGCTGTAGACGCGGGATCTCAACTGCGACGAGGAAGAAGAACTCTGCTGCATCATTCAATTGCATCCATTAGACAAGTGAGATTGATAAAAAAACTGTTAATGGAAGTATTGAAAAAAGGAGAGAGGATTGAATACCGGCGTTGAGAGAGGAGGAGCAGCGCCAGCTGCGAGGGAGGCTAAGATGCGCTCGGAGCGTTGGCGAGTGAGCTGTTGACGGCGGAGGACATGGCCGGAATTGCTTGAATGAGCGGTGGCGGCGTCGGAGAAGGTGAAGATGGCAGCGAGAGAGAGGGTGAATAGAAAGTAATGAGCCGGACGACCGGTGGGAAGTCGCCCGCTCATCATTATTCTGCTTAGGAGAAGGGGAGGAGTGGAAGAGAGGAGGGGATGGAGGTGGGAAATGCCGTCAAAGGTTATTTATAAAATATTAAGGTTGATGACCCCATTTAATTTAAAAAAATATGCCCTTCTTATAATATATAAACCCCAGAGAAAATGTAAAAATATATAACATAATATATGTTGAGGCTATATATATATATATATATAGACCATCTGAAATATTGATATTTACAAATTAATCAGGTGTTTCTTTTAAACTATAAGGCCAATGTATTTAAGTCTGTCACTATCATGCTATTGAGAATTTGATAAAAAGGAAAAGCATGGCTTGGGTTTTTACAATGAGTTTTGATACTTGAGTGAGGATTTGAAAATATGATGAAAATGGTTGGTTGATTTGTAAATAGCAAGTTTGGGAAGATTTATATATCATAGCTTTATAGAAATAGAGAACCCTAATGCTAACAATCAAACAAAAGTTTGGACATGTTCGGTTACTTAACATTTCTCAGTCATCGACATGTAATTCGATGACTTGTAATTCACACGAGAAATTCTATGACAAAGTCTAGCTCTCCAACTAGTTCCTTCAAATTAATAATGGAAAATTTATATAATTAAATTTAAATATGTTATTTGTTCTCTAATTTTGAATTCCAAATGAATTTAGTCAACACATAATCACGTTTAAGAAAAATAAAAATCATTGTCTTGTTCAATCACACATAACCTTGATCGACATAAGTCCGTCCATATTAATTATTCTTCAACAATTGATAGAGTACACGCAAAATTGTATGATGATGTACAATTTATACTATTAAAGAGAATTCAATCACTCAAGTTGTCTAATATGGACTCTTAGAGTCTGTTTGGGGTTATTGCAGTTAAACAAATTCTTAGAGAAATGCTTTGAGAATTATAAATATATATTAAAAAAAAAATTAGGCAACCGATTTATTACAATGCTATCGAACTTTAATAGCCCTGGTTGAAAAAATCAGCTTTCAGTCATATTAATTTTTAGAAAACAACAAGAAAACAATTTTCAACACAAAACTATTGTAATAGTCTGAAATGCAAAACAAACAAAAAATTATCCCAAAGAGACCCTTAATTGAGAATGATCACATTTTGTGATATTAAGTAAGGTTTTTGGATTTCTAATAAATCTCATATTTCAATTCATAGAAAATCCTCATTTGAATTTGTTAAAATAAAGTCTATCTTAATTATACTCAAACTTTGATCTAAAAGTAGGTTAATAGGAGAGCCCTAGTTTTGAAATTTATAGTACATGTACCAATTTTAGTAAATTCGTGAGCTTCTTACTACAATAATAATAATAATAATAATAATTATTATTATTATTATTATTATTGTAGTAAGAAGCTCACGAATTTACTAAAATTGGGGATTTTGGTGCAATCCACAAATAATTTTGAATCTAACACTTTTCCCTCTAAGAATTCTAAACACATAACAAAGTAGCTCTAATATGTAAACCCAAATCATTTAACATTCATGGGCTTAAATTGTGTGATTTGATTTTGAGCCGAGCTTCGATCACCCTGAAAGATTTGGATATAACTCAAAATCTGCTCGTGAATTGTCGTATTAGATTTCATAGCATCTTGGCTCAAAATTGAATTAAGCTTAATCAAACTTGATATCAAAATGTATTGGCTTGAATGGAATCACTTGGATCAATTCTAGTTTGAAAATCAGAATGAGTTTATTTTTTTCGATTGAGTCAGCGTAGAATTAAAGAATATGAACAAATTGTTAAAAAAAAAGAATCATTTCATTTAAACATTTTAAAGATTTAACATTCTCTATCAAACAAAATTTTAAATATATAAAAAAGAGTTTGATTAAAAAACAAATTGAGCCGATCAAAAGTTAGTCCAAGCCAATTCATTTATGGCTCGAAATCAACTCGAAAAATTTTTTATTCATACTTTCAGCGTTTAGCTCGAGCCACCTGCTTCAGTCCAATCCCGATTCAAGCCAAATTCAAATCAATTTTCAGTGATTAGTGGTCCTCCAAGCTAAACTCTCGGCTCTACTTTGGTATCTTGTATTTTAGCGATTTTGCATTTATAAAATTCATTTTGTAAAGATGATCAAAATAATATTTTGATGATGACAAAATCAAATTCTAAAGTTCTGATTAAATTCGTAATGTTCTTGTTCTAAAGCTGGGTCAAAATGTATACTTGATCAAGTCAATTTTGTCAATCATTTTAACTCAACATTGGGAAAAAAAAAATCTGTTTCAATATTTTTATCAAGTTAAATTAGACCACTCATAGCAAAGGCATATAACAACAACGCTTGAAAAACATTTTCTTCGTGAGGTGTTGGGTCCCCTCGGCCTCCTTCTTAAGTGTAATTCTGGACTGTTGAGCCATTTGCCCCCAACTTTGAGATATGAGCCTTTGTCCTGATTGTGTGGTATCTGGGGCCTCTGGCCGACTGACTCCCATGATATGCCGGCTGGTCTGGAAAGTGCAGCTTACGTCAATCATTCATGCTTTAGTCATCGCTGCTTGGCCCAAGATTAGTCACTCTTAGGTGCCAGCGACCCACCACGCTTCCTTGATTCCTTAACACCTATCTATTGACTTTTGGTTTCTGGTTCTGGCAACCCCTTGGATGCCTGATAATGCCATCCAATCACCCGTCTTTATTTGATCAGAGTCATTGGCTTCATGATTGTTTGAGAAGCTTACTTTTTTCTTATGTACACTAATTTATACAAACTTTGAGGGACATACATACCATTCAATTTCTATGTATTTATATGTCTAATATTTAAACTTTAATAATATATATCATTTTACTTATGTTTGAAAAAAATGTATCTCACTATTTTAAAAGTTATAATAGTAATATTTTTGTTATATAATGTAAGAGAACTTTAGGTGTTAGTAATGTAAATATATAGGAATTGTGTGGTATCGTTATGTATGTAAATGTCCCACATTATAAATATCTTAATTTAATTTGATACAAATTATTCTCCCACCATTCTTTCCTTTTTTTTTTACTTCCCACTTAACTAAATAGGAAATATTAAAAAAAAAAAAAAGGAAGGCCGGCAGCTTCTAATTGTGATAATCTTTTGAACTTAGCGCTGCCTTAATGCAGCTCTACTGCCAATTGCATTCCCTACATGGCAAGAAGAGGCAAAAGATACTCTTTTACATGAATATATGTCAAATGTACTATTAATTAAATTCATTGTTGTTTTAAGATTTTAAGCTTTTAATTAAGAGTTAATCACTTAATATTTCTCTGATGCTAAAATTTTTATTCAGTGAATATAGGGCTGCAAATGTATTGAGTCGAGTTGAGCAGATGCTTACTCAAGCTGGAGCTTGTCTATTAAAAGCTTGATCTAGCTAAACTAGAGCTCAATTCGAGCTTTAAAAGAGTGTTCAAGCTCTAGCTCGTCTTCTACTGTATCCAGGCTCATATTATATAGGGATTATTGAGATTATTAGCGAGCACCAAGTTCAACACAACAAATAAATCATAATCAAGCTTTATAAGAGTAGCTTTTGTTCGGAAAATCAATGTGTTGCATTAAACTAGTTATGTTAAGTTTAAAAACAAATATTTAGATGATACTATTTGTGAAGGAGTCTTAATAAAGTTGTAAAATAACATTAATAAGGCTTTGTTGAGCATTTTAAGGAGCTTATTCATAATTTTTAAACTGAACTATTTACAAACATAAATGAATTGATTGACAAATTATTTAAGTTTGTTCAGTTAGCAACAAAGTGTTTAGAAAAGTGCTTAATTTGTTTGATTAATTGATAAAATGATTGTAAACGAGCTCTAATTGATTATAATTGTTTTGTCCTATTTCAACACTACCAATCTCTGCATCATGAAGTTCTCCTTACAATACCAAATGGTAAACTGCTCCTCTTTGATATGCTATTACTCCACATATATCTCGCAATCTCCTTACAAACAATCTTTGTGGCATTCACAACACTCGTCCCCTCGGGCATCTCCAACAACAACAAATATTTATGTATTTGCTCTCCTTTCTTTTATCGTGATGCATGTATTATAGCCAAGAGCCATAACCTTCTTTTATTTTTAAAATTAATAGACGATAGTAGGAGATATTATGACTTATTCGTATCGATGTATGGAGACCTTCCACAGTCCCCTCTAATCAAAATATTTGATACTATATTTCATTTATTGATGATTTCTCATACTATCACTAAGTATTTTATATGATCTACGAATTTTAGTTTTTCTCTCACTTCATAAAGTTTATAACTATAATTGAAAATTATTTCAATACTCCAATCAAATACTTCACTCTGATGGAAAAGGCTCTCAACTCTCCCTATATCTAAAACAATATGATATTTTACATCAGTTTGGTTGCCAGCATACCCTTTAATAAAATAAGATTATCGAACACGTAAATCTTCACCTAATAGAAATAATGAGAACCCTCTTCTTCAATCTCACTTATCTTATTATTTATGGTGAGAAGCTCTCCTCATTGTTGTCTTTCTTATCAACCCTCTTCTCACTCGTAGCACTAATAACACCTCTCCTTATCAACACCTATATCACAAACCACCAAACTATACATATCTCAATGTCTTTGGATGCATGTATTTTGTATATCTCAAACCATTTTCACCGCATAAACTTGCTCCAAGCTTTGCTTATAATTTCTTCTTAGGTTTGACATGTGTGAATTGTGTGCTAAAAATTATTTACTTCTTCTTGCAACTTTTTCTATTATTTATTCATACTTATGCTTTTTTTTATGAATTTTTGTGCAAATTGGTGAGAATTGTAAAGAGTCCGTAGCTGTTATTGGAGCGAAGAAGGAAGCTGGCTCAGAGATGTATCTAAATGGAGCCACCAACCACCATAGCCTAAATGGCCATATCTAGAGCCTAGGTGACAGTTTTTGGGCGCCTAATCGCCGCCCATGTGGCCAACCCATGTAAGTA